ATTACTTTCATTAATGTTGTTGTAAGCTACTGTCATTACCTGCATCTCTCTCTCTCTCTCTCTCTCTCTCTCTCTCTCTCTCTCTGTCTTATTGTGTCATATGGATTACTGTTAATTTATTATGCTGATCTGTTCTGTACGACATCTATTGCACGTCTGTCCGTCCTGGAAGAGGGATCCCTCCTCAGTTGCTCTTCCTGAGGTTTCTACTGTTTTTTTTCCCCGTTAAAGGGGTTTTTTTTGGGGAGTTTTTCCTTATCCGCTGTGAGGGTCATAAGGACAGAGGGATGTCGTATGCTGTAAAGCCCTGTGAGGCAAATTGTGATTTGTGATATTGGGCTTTATAAATAAAATTGAAAATTGAATGTGTTCATTCATAGTTTTGATGCCTTCAGTGAGAATCTACAATGTAAATAGTCATGAAAATAAAGAAAACGCATTGAATGAGAAGGTGTGTCCAAACTTTTGGCCTGTACTGTGTATATATATGTATTTACACACAACAAACTTCCGGGGGTCACACACCAGCGACACGATTGCAGCTACCCTAATGGAAATGTTTGACAAGTGGCAAATTCCATTGAGCAAAGTTCATGTGATTCTGAGGGACAACGCCAGCAACATGCGAAAGGCGATGGACAACATGGGAGTACATAGTTTAGGCTGTGTTGCACATACAATTCAGCTCGTTGTCAACATGGGATTTCCATCACAGTGCGCTGTGAGTGATTCCATTGCAAGTGGGAGACAGATTGTTGGACACTGCAGGCCGCTATGTTTACATGGCAACTCGCGCGAGACTCGAGAACTAGCACCACCACTAGCCATCAGCTCGTCTAGTAAATTTTGCATGCCGCGGCTTCAGGGCACTTGGATTACCACAGACGAGCCGTTCTGACATTTTTGAAATGCATTAGCGGAGTTTTATTACATTTCCAAAATGTGGGTTCCATGCACTTGTAGCTGTTATTCCGGCTAGCTGTTATCCTCTGATACCCCGACGAGTTTTGTGGATTAAAAAACTACACTGGACTTCTTGCTGGCATGAGGGTCAGTAAGTACAGTCTGTATTTTCATTCTAAAGTGGCCATTTACTTTAAACATTCTCCACTAGCATATTCACGGCTGCAAGATATCCAGCTTGAGATGAACATGCAACCAAAACACCTGCAGCAGGACGTCAAAACCAGGTGCAATAGCACCTACTTCATGATAGAGAGTCTGATGGAACAGAAGTGAGCACTGTCTGCTTATACTGCTGACCATGACCTGCCCACAACACTCACAGCAAACCAGTGGGCCTTGCTTGAGAAAGCAATGACCTGTCTTGAACCGTTTGAGGAGTTTACAAGGAAGATGAGCTCAGCCACAGCTGATGTTGTCCCAAGTGTCACCGTTCTGAATGTCATTTCCCTATGGAAACCGAGGCTGACTCTGGGATTAAAACCATGAAAAAGACCCTCTTAGAAGTCGCGCTTTAGCACCATGGAAGATGAACCTCTGTATATGCACATTCCACGCTGCTGGACCTGAGATACAAAGACAGGTGAGACTGTAAACTTATTACATTACAGGTGTAGCTCAATAAATTAAGAGTATAGTGAAAAATTTCAATGTTTTTGTAAGTTATTTCACTCTTTGTGAGAAACATTATTTAAATGTAATAGAACTTATAACTGATAAATATTAAATATACAGACCTTATAGATAGATACTCCTCCGAGAACCGTCACCTTATCGTGGTGGAGGAGTTTGAGTGCCCCAATGACCCTAGGAGCTGTGCTGTCGGGGGCATTTTGCCCCTGGTAGGGTTTCCCATGGCAGATTGGTTCTGGGCGAAGGGTCAGATGAAGAACAGTTCAAAAGACCCTTCATGATGGAAAATAACAAGAGTTGGTGTACCCGGCCCGAAGGGCTACCAGGGCCCCGCCCTGGAGCCAGGCCTGGGGCTGGGGCCCGTGGGCGAGCGCCTGGTGGTCGGGCCTTCGCCCATGGGGTCCGGCCGGGCCTAGTCCAAACCGGCTACATGGGCTCGTCCCCCTGCAGGCCCACCACCCGCAGAGGGATCCAGAAGGGTTCGGTGCACTGTGGATCGGTCAGCAGACCAAGGCGGGGGCCTTGGTGGTCTGATCCTCGGCTATGGAAGTTGGCTCTTGGGACATGGAATGTGACCTCTCTGGCGGGGAAGGAGCCGGAGCTTGTGGAAGAGGTTGAGCGCTACCAGCTAGATATAGTCGACCTCACCTCGACACATAGTTCCGGCTCTGGAACCCAAGTCGTCCTTGAGAGGGGTTGGACTCTCTCCTTTGCTGGAGTTGCTCCGGGTGAGAGGCGGATGGCCGGGGTGGGCTTTCTGATAGCCCCCAGACTCTCTGCCTGTACGTTGGAGTTCACCCCAGTGGAAGAAAGGGTTGCGTCCCTGCGCCTTCGGGTCGGGGAACGGGTCCTAACTGTTGTCTGCGCTTATGCGCCGAACAGCAGTTCAGAGTACCCGCCCTTTTTGGAGTCCCTGGGTCGGGTGCTTTACAGTGCCCCGACTGGGGACTCCTTTGTTCTGCTTGGGGACTTCAACGCTCACGTGGGCAATGACAGCAGGACCTGGAGGGGCGTGACTGGGAGGAATAGCCTGCCCGATCTGAACCCGAGTGGTGTGCAGTTATTGGACTTCTGTGCGGGTCGCAGTTTGGCCATAACTAACACCATGTTTGAGTATAAGGATGTCCATCGGTGTACGTGGCACCAGGACAGCCTAGATCGCAGGTCAATGATTGACTTTGTAGTCGTATCATTTGACCTGCGACCACATGTTCCGGACACTCGGGTGAAGAGAGGAGCAGAGCTGTCAACTGATCACCACCTGGTGGTGAGTTGGTTCAGGTGGCAGGGGAGGACGCCGCGCAGACCTGGCAGGCCCAAACGAGCAGTAAGGGTCTGCTGGGAATGCCTGGCAGAAGAACCTGTCAAAATGATCTTCAACTCCCACCTCCGGAAGAGCTTCGACCGCGTCCCGAGAGTGGAGGGGGACATTGAATCTGAATGGGCCTTGTTCTGCTCTGCCATTGTCAAGGTGGCTGTTGCGAGCTGTGGCCGCAAGGCCGCGGGGGCCAGTCACGGCAGTAATCCCCGAACCCACTGGTGGACACCAGAGGTGAGGGGAGCCGTCAGGCTGAAGGAGGCCTACAGGGCATGGTTGGTCTGTGGGTCTCCAGAAGCAGCTGACAGGTACCCGCGGGCCAAGCGAAGCGCAGCAGCGGCAGTCGCGGAGGCAAAAACTCGGGCGTGGGAGGAGTTTGGTGAGGCCATGGAGAAAGACTATCGATTGGCTCCAAAGAGGTTCTGGCAAACCGTCCGGCGCCTCAGGGGGGGAAGGCGGCAACTTGCTCACAGTGTTTACAGTGGGGGCGGGGAGCTGCTGACGTCAACTGGGGACATTGTCGGGCGGTGGAAGGAATACTTTGAGGAGCTCCTCAATCCCACCAACACGTATTCCAGTGAGGAAACAGAGCCGGGGGTCTCGGGGATGGGTCATCCAATTTCTGGGGTAGAAGTTGCTGAGGTAGTGAAGG